AAAACATCCAAGGTTGATAATATAATAGCATGGAACAATAAAAAATTATAGATACGTTGGAGACGTATCAACATATCACTTGCAGACTAGGATTTTCGGTCCGCCCTACCCTTCTCTACTCTTCAAACGGAGATGTACTTATTCCTAAAGGCTTTACCCCATAACCCATCATGGTTAGTTAAAAATTTCCAAGCCCACTTTACTATCAAACTCCAATTCACCACCTTGGCATTTATCATCCCTAAGCCCCTACTTCCTTAGGGGAACAAACGGTGGTCCATTTTACCATGTGATACTTTTTCCTACCATGTTTCTTTTGCCAGAAGAATCTTGGCCTAATTGTATCAAATTTTATCATGTGCTCCATCCTGAAGAAGATAGAGACCCATTGCATACATCAGAACATTGGACAGACAAGCATTAAGAAGGATTAGCCTCCCTCCCGAGGGTAAGTACGTACCTTGCCAAGGTTCCACCCTCACCATGACATTTTCAACCACCGAATCCATACTCGCAATAGTGAACTCTCTATCCTCAATAGGAGATGAAGATATGTAAGGGGACAAGCCCCCAACTTATAATTCATCATATGGTCCGCCCTTAATTGGCTCTCAAGACCCCCCCCCCTATAACAATAGCCTTGCTTTTCTCAAAATTGACTTTTAGACCCAACATGGATTCAAAACACACAAGTAGGAACTTAAGACTCACAATGGCCATAGGGTTATTCTTTATTAGTATGAGGGTATCATCTGCATATTGCATAATGGTTAACCCTCCCGCGACCAACCTCGAAGCGACACCCACAATATGCCTAACAACTTTTCCCCCATCAAGCATGGCCGTAAGGGCATCTTCCACAAAATTTAAGAGGAGGGGGAAATCTCGGGTTCGCCTACCTCACACCTCCAGCATTTCTAAAGAAAGAGCCAATCTCTCCATTAATGTTAATCGTAGTCTGGCCATCTCTGACTAGCTGCATCATCCAACTCTTCCATCTCGAATCAATACCTTTTTTATGCAACACCACTTCCAGAAAGTCTCAGTTGACTCTATCGCAAACTTTCTCGAAGTCAAGCTTTAGGATAAAAATTTCTTTATTTGTCCCTTTGATATCATGTGGTACCTCATGATAAACGGCAATACGATCCAAAATACTTCTGCCTTTAATGAATGCCATCCTATTCGGATGTATCGCCTCATGTGTAACTGGAGCCAGCCTCGAAGCAAACCCTTTGACCAAAAGCTTTAAACTCACATTGATAGGAGTAATGGGTCGGAGTTGCCTAATAAACTTCGCCCCATTCACTTTCGATAGGAGGGAGATGACACCATAGTTCAAGCGCTTGACATTGACCAAACACTTGGTGAAATCTTCTAGAATACTAAAAAGTGTTGTACTGACTAACATCGAGAACTTTTTGTAGAAAATGACCGGGAACCCATCCTGACAAGGGGTGCATTTTGTACATGGATAATGTAAATTCCTAAAATATTTTTAACTTTAACATGACAAAAAAATTGCACCCTGTTATTAAGAGGCTATTATAATTTGCACCCTTTTAATTAACAACAGAGGCTCCAAACATTTGGCAATTGCCTCCTACCAATTAACAAAAAAATATGCAATTGGATAAAAAATATCGTCCCATGCTTAGTTCTCTCATTATTGTGAGTATGGAAAACAGAATCCTAACACATGCTTAAATTGAACTGCAGAGATGATTTTGAGCTACCTTTGGTGGGACGAGATGTCCAACTAGATGATCTAGTATGTATGCTTATTTCAGAAGAAACTGAGTGCTCAACGGGGAACTCTGGAATAACAAAGAGTGATCACCCAATGGTGATCTCTGTGATAGGAAAGAGTGGTGTCGGCAAGACAAAGCTAGTGAAGGAGAGCTACGAGAAGCACTCAACCAAGCGTTATTTTGACGTGAAGGCATGGGTGACCTGTGCTCCCAATCTTAGTGCCTCCAACATCATGAAACTGATCCTTTTGCGTTTGACAGAGGGCCCTGTTACAAGGCTCCAAAGAAGAGGAACTCCAAGGAAGGCTAGAGGGTGTGTTGAAAGTTTGTACATATTTGTTAGTTATAGACGGGGAAGTTAGCATCACGGAATGGAGTTACCTGCTATCCATCCTCCCAAATGACAATGTCAACAGCAGAGTAGTGAGAATCACACAAGCAACCGATTTAGAATCACCACCACCAGACAAATTTGTAGAGAAAAAAAATTCTGCTTGAACACTTTAATGAACAAGGCAAAACTCTCTGGTTGTTCCTAGAAACACTGTTCATGGATGAGAAAGAGAAGCTCGTCAATGATCTGGAGAAGAAGGAAGATAAGCATGACAATGGACTGGAGAAGAAGGAAGAGAAACATCTCAGCGCTCAACTACTTTGGTTGATCCTGAGTGTTGTGAACAGTTTGATGTTGTTTTTTCTTGGCTCATTTGCAATAAAGTGGGGCTGCGGTCCGGAGAAGAAGGAAGAAAGGCACGGTGATGATCTTGAGAAGAAGGAAGAGAAACACAACGTTGATCTGAAGAAGAAGGAATTCATAATAAGCCATGCCAAGTTCATCTTTGATGTTACAGGTGGGCCATTGGTGATCGTTCTTTTGTCCGGTCTTTTGCGGACCAAGGAGTACCCTGGAGAATGGGAGAAGGTATTCAAGCACCTTGAGAGCAACTTCACTGGACGGAAGCGGCTGGACATCATACTATCCATGTGCTTTGATGACCTCCCACACGACCTCAAGTCTTGCTTCCTCTACTTTGCCGGCTTCCCGGCAAACACACTCGTCAAGGCACGCTCCTTGGTGTGCATGTGGATGGCGGAGGGGTTCCTGATACCAAAAGAGGGAAAGACAATGGAGAAGATGGGTGAGTGCTACTTGCATGAGCTGATCCATATGCGTGGAGATGAGCGTGTCACCGTCCAAACCATAGTCCATGACTTCTTGGTGCTTGAGGCACAAGAGGCAAACTTCATGGAGATCCATAGTAGGGACGATGTGCCCACACTGTCCACTGCTCGTCGCCTTTCATTGCAGAATCATAGGGACAAGTATGCTGCTCTCGCAGAATCTTTGCCCAAGTTGCGATCCATCTTGTCCAACTTTGAGAAAGAAGAGCCCGGAACCAGACCAAGGAAGGCATCAAGACTAGTGATGACATACAGAAGCTCCTACAAAGATCTCGGTTCCTCCGTGTCATCTACCTCGATGGCCTAGAGATCGGCAATAGGTTGCCCTCCGAAATAGGAAATGTGATGCACCTGCATTACCTTGGCATCACGTCCTGCTCCCTCAACGAGATACCATCATCGGTTGGGAAGCTCACACATCTACAACCGCTAGACGTTCGGGGCACCTTTGTCAGAAGACTTCGTTGGGAGTTCTGGAAGATTCCAACACTACGACATGTGTTTGGATCCATCATCTTGCCTAGGCGAGTCGGTGACTTGGAGCAGCTGTAAACGCTGCAGGCTGTAAAGCCAGGTGAAGATGGTGGTATCTGGGACAAAAAAAACTTTCGCTGGCATGAAGCGCCTTCAGTCCTTGTACATCTGGGGCCTCTCCACCAAAAATGTCCAGGCCTTGGATGCTATCTCTGCAGTTAACAACCTCATGCTCCTAAGCATTCAGGGCGAGGTAATTTCCTTGGATTTATTCACTTTCTCCAATTTCACACGCCTTCATGTACTGATTTTGAATGGGAGGATCATGCCACTATCAAGAGAGATCAACGGGTCGTTAAAATTCCCAACTCTGACAAAGTTGTCTCTGAAGAAGACCATGGTGTCACAATACTTTATCAACAAACTAAGTAATGAGCTGCCCCATCTTGCTTCTCTAGCACTACTCCCTGAATCCTATGAGGAGGCACGTCTTGCCTTCACTGATGGTTTTCAGAGTCTCAAGGAACTTAAGATAGACCTAGATGTGGGCGTGAACAACATTATTATAGCGGATCAAGCATGTCCTTCCCTAGAGAAACTGAAGATCTCTATGTACTCTGAGGATCTTCATCTCCAACTCCAACCCAAGATTTGGGAGATAATCGAACTAGAAGATAATTTCTTATTCAAGGAGATGCAAAAAAACAACAACACACCATTCTCATGAAGATGGAAGCTCCTGCTGAAGATCAACGGCGTGAAGTTCATACTATGTACAGTATCCCTATAGCACAAGACATACAAGTTTTATTCATGTGTGATGCATAAGCTTTCAGAGTGTTACTTTGCGTCTATTTGATTTGTTAAACATTTGTATTTGTCTCTGTATATATGTGTGTGTGCACCCGAGAGAGAGATGGTTGTTATTTGGCCCGTATCTCCGGCCACCATTTCAAATATATGCATTTGACTATGTAAATAAAGTGGCATAAACTGCTTGCTAATGCCCGATCTATTAATAAAATGATTGAGCATGTTCAGTCGAAATGGATTTCCTTTGCTTGTCTGCATGGCGCTGCATAGAATGTTTTTCACGAGGGGAAAAAGGGCAAGTGCATTCTTTGTGCCATGATCTGGAGCGCCCTGGCCGTCCGTGCGGTCCACGCCGGCCCGCGAATTTTTGCCGACCTCGGGGAGGGGAGGGGAGGTTGCGAGGTCGCCATCGGCATCGCACGACGTTCAAAATTTCCCACATCCGCACCAGCACTGTAGGCCACGTGTAAAGCGCTCGTGTGAATAAGACACAGAGACCCGGCCACACCAGGTGCAGGTGTTCGTCACTCGTCGCTTCCTTCAGATGGCGATGGCGATGCGACGCGCGGCGGCGCTCGGCGCCCGCCACATCCTGGCCGCCTCCGCCTCCGCCTCCTCCCGCGCCGCCAGCCGCCGCCACGTACGCCTTCTTTCCCCCTACCCACTGCGCTCCTTCATTCATACCCCTCGCGCCCCCCGGCGGTGGTGCTCGGTGGGTCGTGTCTTTCTGTTAATCGCTGGGTGGGTGCGCAGATGGGCAGCCTGGACGCGGGCGCGGCGATGGAGAAGATCCGGGCGGCGGGGCTCCTCAGGACGCGCGGCCTCATCGGCGGCCAGTGGGTCGACGCCTACGACGGGAAGACCATCGAGGTACTGTCCCTCCCTCCATCCGTCTCACCGTAGTGGTGCCTTCGCGATGCCTGTGGATCGTTGCGGTTCGGATAGCGTTCGATTTCGAGGGGAAATCAGGGATTGTTGCGGTTCAGATAGCGTTCGATTTCGAGGGGAAATTAGGGATTGTTGAGGTGTTCCAGTTGCTACTTAATGGAACGCGTGGGAGTTGGAAATTTGTGCCGAATTTGGGAACAACTACCGTACGCCTTGATAACCATGAAAATAGAGGCGGAACTTAGCTGGTCTTGAGCCTTTTGAGTTTGCTGTTTAGGTTGTTTCTGTAAATTGTGCCGGACAGTATGTGAATCAATGAAATGTTGCTACTGCAACTCTACTCACTTTTTATATTTCAATTCTCTAACCTATGCTAAGTTGCTAATGTTGATTGTCAACCTTTATAACTGGAATAACTTCTTTTTCTTGTAGGTGCAAAATCCAGCAACTGGCGAGGTCCTAGCAAATGTAGCCTGCATGGGCAACAGAGAAACAGCTGATGCAATAACTTCTGCTAACACGACATTTTACAGTATGTCAAACACATTAGTGTATTTACTTTTAATGCTTGAACACTGACCAAATAATGTTTTGTAAGTGTCATAGTTAAAATGTTTTGACATGCTTATAATATTAATAATATATGCAAATTAAATTGCTTCTGTGTCTGCGGAAGATCAGCATTGGAACACCATGAATCAAGTGAACCCTTACTCAGATGCACTTTCGTCTCCACAATCAACTAATATCTTCTGTGTATCAGAAAATGCTTTCATTGTGGCCTAGTTGTTTTATTGCCACATATAGTAATTTAATAAATAAAAATCAGAACTACTATACTGTCTCCATATTAGGTGAATGTGTGATGGTTGTTTTGTTTCTGGTAGAACAGAGGAGTTGTACTTCGTAGTAGACAGAGTACATCTTGTAGACTCCCAAAATCCTCTAGTTTTTTAGTACAAGCTCTGAAAGGCAGGAAGAGAATACATGATCAGCACTTAGGCAAAGAAAATTAGGAGCGACAGATTGGTCTCTAAAAGCTTATTTGGCTAAAGCATTGGCAACTTTGTTGTCTCGGAAATGCTTGTTTAAAAAATATCTAATGCATGCCCTCTTTTGATGCAAACCTTATCTAAATCAAGTTTAATTATGATTTTCAATACCTAGTAGGATGCTCATCTTCACCTCATAACAAAAATACGAGTCCTGCATGGAATTGTGCGTTTGCTGTTGTTGTTTCCCTTTGCTAAATATTTGTATGCCTAAGAATGCTTTTCTTTGCATATTTCATTATAGTTGCTTTTCCATTTACCACTTGTAATTTTCTTTGCTTGTTTATTACCCTTTCTTTTTTGTAGCTTGGAGCAAACTCACTGCAAGTGAAAGGAGCAAGGCACTAAGAAAATGGTAGTTTGTATGGATTGAAGTGTTAATAATAGCATGAATTTCTTGTAGTAATGCCAGGATATTTCTTCTCACTGTGTATATTCCACAAAGGCATGACCTACTTATGTCACACAAGGAAGAACTTGCACTTCTTATGACACTGGAACAGGGGAAGCCTATGAAAGAAGCCCTTGGGGAGGTACTTGCTGAAATCATGCACTGACAATAGTTTGTTGGAGCTTGTCATTATCTAGGGTTATGGTAGGCTAATTTGTTGCTAATCATATATTCAGGTGAACTATGGTGCAAGTTTCATAGAATTTTTTGCTGAGGAAGCAAAGCGTGTGTATGGTGATATTATTCCCCCTACTCTAGCTGACCGCAGACTATTGGTTCTGAAGCAGGTAATATGCTAATACCCTCTAAACATTTATTATGCCTGTTCCTTCTGGTAGTCACTTCTCCTTTCATTACCACATTACGTTTATACTCCCTCCGCCCCGAATTACTTGTCACAGAAATGGATGTATCTAGACGTATTTTTAGTTTTAGATACATTCATTTCTATCAATTTCTGCGACAAGTAATTCGGGACGGAGGGAGTATTACATTATTTCATCTGTACACTTCTCACCTTTCATTTCATCAAGCAAAATGTCATGTTAGGTACTGACATCCTCTTGGAATGCTACTCTAGTTTCTCAGTTCATTTTCTTGTACTAGTACAGTAAACCTGTGCTTTTATTTTTCTAATATTAGTTTTTTACTATGGATATTTTTGCAGCCTATTGGGGTAGTTGGAGCTATTACACCATGGAATTTTCCTTTAGCAATGATAACCAGAAAGGTCTCAAGCAAAACACACTTCTCCATTGGTTAAAATGTCCAAAAGAAAATCAGCTATGTTTTTGCATTTTCTTATATATGCCTTCCCGCAGGTTGGACCAGCATTGGCTTGTGGATGCACTGTTGTTGTCAAGCCATCAGAGTTCACACCTCTGACAGCATTAGCTGCAGCAGACCTTGCTCTTCAAGCTGGAATACCAGCTGTAATTCTCTCAAGTTCTCTACTATTCCAGTATTATTTGTGTACAAGTGTATTTATTCTGTTTCCATCTGTTACTTGTCGAAGATCATGTTTCAAAATGGACTACTAAATTTCTGTAACGAAATTTTCATATTCATGGTATGGGTACTGTTACCGAGTGAATTCTGTTACTCCCTCCGATCCATATTACTTGTCACTCAAATGGATGTATCTAGCACTGAAATACGAGTGGATACATCCATTTCAGCGAATATGGATTGGGGGGAGTACTAGATTTCTGAGATGCCTTACTCGTTTTGATTAGTAAACTGTTTAAACTAGTCATAACTGCAATCCTGCAAAAGTCACTAGGGGAAAGACCAGGTTTTGGGTATTATTGGAACAAATCATAGTATTTTCCCATCTTTTACTTGCACCTGCCAAGTTGTTTCATTGTAACAGAAGGTTTATTCATCACAGTTATTTTTTCATCATCTATTTCTGTGAGTCTATTCATGACATCTTTTTCAATCATATTTCTTCATCTAGGGTGCACTAAATGTTGTGATGGGTAATGCTCCTGAGATAGGTGATGAACTAATGCAGAGCACACAGGTTTTATTTCCTTCCCTTTCTTTCAGTATTAATTATCTAGTATGTTTTCTTGCAAGTATTTTCTTAGATATGTTAAATCATATAAATTGTGGTGTACATGATCACATGTTTTCCTCTTTATAGGTCAGAAAGATTACGTTCACGGGTTCAACAGCTGTTGGCAAAAAACTGATGGCTGGATCAGCAAACACTGTGAAAAAGGTATGTACTGAGAAACTACTTAAGGAGAAATTACTGTACCTCTGAAGTTTAAAGTTCTTGTGCATCTTTAGAGCTTTCTCCTCCCAAGAACACATCCAATAGAGTTTAATCTTGGGATGTCCACTGAGCCCATGGCGGCTGTGAAAATGCCTCCTAGGAGGATGTAAATTCCCTATCTTTCCAATGCAATGAAACGCAAAAGCTATTTGCGTTTTCTCGAAAAAAATAGCTGCAACTTGCTGTGTTGATTTCGTTTGGTGACTTATTGCAATAACTAACCTTGTTTCAGATGAACATGTAAGATGTCTGTGCAGAAGGGCTCAGCAAACCAGGAGTAGCTCGCTGCTTCTAGTCACACTAGCCCTTGTCTAATTTTCATAAAAATGTGTCTGTCTGGTTTAGGCCCTAGATACCATACTGCATGCACTTCAGCCCGCAATGTCTATATATCCCAGTATTAAATATGCCCCAAACATCATTCTAGAAAGTCTCGGACCTTACCAATAAATGATCCAAAAACTACCCGATCTCTGGAACCACCCTGCTTGTGGTTTTCTGGTCCTGTGCCACTTTCAAAACTTGCTATTCGGTCAGTTCAGCGTTGATAGCATTTATTCTTTAGGGTGTTGGATATAGTTTTTTCACTTTTTTATTTAAGCACCCTAACTACTTGCTGGCTAGTAATACCATTATATGTTAATAATTGCTTTGCCATTTTGACTTAATTTTCCAGTGGAATTTTGATCGGGATATATGCAGTATTGTTAGTTAGCAAGATCTTTTCACTGTGCGGTTAACTTCCTTTATTTTAGTTGGAATGTTTCTGCAAAAGCTTTTATTGTTTCATTTCAGTGTGATATCATCAATGTTGATATTTGGAAGAATAATTCTCATGTAGGTTTCTTTGGAGCTCGGTGGGAATGCGCCTTGCATTGTTTTCGATGATGCAGATATTGATGTTGCCGTTAAAGGCAGTGTAAGTAAAAAAATTTCTTTTCCTCACTTCCACAACTATTTTCGGGTCTTGTATTTCCACTAACATACATACCAAAAAGATCATGATTAGCTCTCTAGGCGGAGATGAACATCATAATAGATATGATGAATTTGTGCTTTATGTCTAAGACTTACATGAATTGGCTAATTGACTATTGGGGCCTGTTTGGTGGTTTTAAAGAACGATCTTGAAAATGCTCAGTTTTCTTAGGTCAATGCATGCATATGTATGTCTCTTGACTTCCTTTTTTTTTCCTGAGCTGCAACTGAGAAACATAACGTGGGCTAAACACATGTCGCTTTCCTCACTCTTTCCCAACATATATTATGTTAGAAATTCAGTGTTGGGTTGGTATCCAGGTAATGCAGCTGCCTTCCAGGGAATGCGCATATCCCTGTTACTTTTCTAGAGGATAACATCACAATATGGCAAAAAAAACATGATAATGGCTGAATCAGCTAATGAAGTTCATTTCATATGTATCACTTTCTCTTACTAACATATTTTACACTTTCCCACTTCAGCTAACAGGCTATTGAAATGTGTAAATTCTATCATTTTGATCATAATATGATGCATATTTGACCTACTCCATTCTTATTTAGCTTGCTGCCAAGTTTCGGAACAGCGGACAGACGTGTGTATGTGCAAACAGGATATTGGTGCAAGAAGGTATACTGATCATTTATGTCATATATATGTTATTGGTGCCTCTTTTGTTCTGTTAAGAATGCAAGTTGCATCTGTAGGTATCTACGAAAAATTCGCAAGTGCATTTGTCAAGGCTGTTCAGAGTTTGCAAGTCGGTAATGGGCTAGAAGAGAGTACATCACAGGTATATAAAGTGTTTAATCCCCCTCTGTTATATATTGAGCTACAAAATTTGAACTATGTCTTTCTTGTGTTAGTTGCTTGGACAATGTTTTCTCACACTGTATGAGTTATAAGAATACCTAATTTGACAGTACTTGGGGTCTCTTTGGATTGAAGGATTTTCATAGGAATTCTGTAGGATGTCAGTCAATAGGATTTTTCTCATGAAATCCATCCGGATCAAATGAATGAGACCACCAAATTTGTAAGGCTTGCTTTTATACGCTCCAATTCCATCTGATATCTAGCAAGAGGTTAGACCACACGGAAAATTACTTAGTGTCTTGCATCAACCTTCTCTCTCTCTCTCTCTCTCTCTCCAAATTCCTACAATTTTTTTGTGGATCACCCCAAGAACCACTTTTCCAGATTCATATGTTTTTGTTTCCTGAGCCGAAACCACCAACTATTGAGGTTGATTTTGTGCAGAACACCTACTCTACAAGCTTATTGTACGAAACACCACCTATTCGTGTAATCTGTTGCAGGTAGCTAATCCATCGTTTGGCTCCGTTGACATGATCCCTGTTGGTCCCGCTTATAAGTGCACACATGAAAAAAACCCGGGTTGGACGACAGGTTTTGGAGATATTTGCAGTTTTAGTTGGCTCATTCAAAAGTTTGGTTCAGAATTCAACATTTCTAAAATATGCTAAAAAATCAGTAAATTATAATTATATTCACTACTTATGTGGGATATTTCAGCTCATTTGGACCACATGTTTGAATTCTATCAGCATCTGGACACTTAGGCCCCGTTCGGATCTCCTCCACGATCCAGCTTCCTGAGAAGCGAGCGAGAAGTGACCCGAACGGTTCAGCTTTGAGAATCCAGCTCCTGGAGAACGAGCGGCCTGCAGTGCAATTTTGTGGAGCAGCTCCGGCCCAGCTTCGCAAAAATGAGAAGCAGGAGTTGCTGGAAATTACGTATGATTACCCTCCCGAAGTTCCACGTTCAGCTTCCTCGAACCGTTTTTCTCGCTAAAGCCTGACCTGACGAGAGCAAGCTCAGCGAGACAGACGCGAGCCTCTGCTCTCGCAACCCTAGCTGCGGCGCCGCCAGTCCGCCGCCGCAAGTCTTCTGCCACCGCCCCTCGCTTCTCGGCCTCGTCCTGCAGGTCGCCGCCCGCAGTCAAATTCCGCATCTGCAGCCACACTCCATTGGTTGCCGCCGGCAGCCGGACGACCTGCTCCGTCCAGCCTGCAACAAGATCCATGCAGCACATACGTGCAGCCATTTTCAGCCCTACTCTTCCAAGTGCATTGGCCCAACCCTTGGCTGAACAGGCCAAGCCCATTTCATGGGCTGTGCACGTGAGCAGCTGCTCACGTCAGCCGAACGCGAGGCTGCTCCAGCGAGAAGCTGGAAGCCAGCGAGAATTCGAGAAGCCAACTAAACGAGAAGCTAGAGGAGATCCGAACGGGGCCTTAGTTAAGGGAGAAATCACTCCATAATTAAGTCTAGCTATGTCCAGTCTAACATTGTAAAAATTATGAAGCAGGGAAAGCGAGTCCTCACTAATCGAATCCAAGAAATGCTGATAAAAATCGAACAAAGCCGCTTCATCAACATGGGCCCATGGCTGTCTTCCTGAAGGTTCTCTTAGGTTCCGTAAGTTGTGGGTACAACCCTCTTGAAACGGTCAACAAGGTCTGCCTGCCAGTCATCAGTTGCATCAGGCAGCATGACGGCTTACCCTGGGAGATATTTGCTGTTTTAGTTGACTCAATTCAAAACCTGACGGATGCCACAAGCCATGAGATCTCAATCCTACGTGTTTTTTATTCCTTAATTTATAGAATTCTGTCTTCCAAAGAGACCCTTATGAATTATGATTGAACTTTGTGCTGCATCATAATGGATAATGCTCGTGATCTGCTATGTTATTTTCTTTTTGGTACCTCATGCCAGGTTTTACAGTTTCTTTCACATGCAGGGTCCTCTAATCAATGAAGCTGCTGTTGAAAAGGTTCATATTTTGCACTTGCAATAATTCTGAATTATTTTATGTAGCGATCCTTACATGTTTTATTTTCTGGCTTGTTCTCTTGTAGGTAGAGAAGTTTGTAGGTGATGCTACTTCAAAGGTAATCTCAAATGACTGTAACGGCGTACATTTTCTCTATTGGAATTAGATGTTAGGTTCCAAACTATGGCTAGACCATTTCCTGGCCCCAGCTGGATTGTTGGTAACATTTCCTAAAAGGTGAATCGAAAAGTTAAGTGGTTGAGGAACCACAATTTTCCTGAATCTTGACTCTGGTTCATCCCACCTAACTGTAAATTAACTGGTTGAGGAACCACAGTTTTCCTGAATCTTGACTCTAGTTCGTCACCCACACACTAATAAGAGACAATTCTATACCAAGATGCTTGTCTGATGATTCTATACCAAATTTCCAACATAACCTGCAACTGCATGTAAACTGTAAATTATCTCCTTATCTCGGTCCTTCTGTAGGGAGCCAACATCATGCTCGGTGGTAAAAGGCACAGCCTTGGGATGAGCTTTTATGAGCCAACTGTGGTAGGGAATGTAAGCAATGATATGCTTCTTTTCAGGTAAAGTTTGAATTTCTACATCGTGTCCATCTTGTTTCAGTGCATAGATCTTACTTTTATGTGCAGAAATCATGAAATCGTTGGTCCAGTCCTTCGCAAATTTATAATTATCTTCAGATTTTGAACTCTTAATGATGTAAAAAGGACAATACATTTTGCTTCAGGGAAGAAGTTTTTGGTCCAGTTGCACCACTTATACCATTCAAAACTGAGGAGGAAGCAATCCATTTAGCAAACGACACCAATGCAGGTTCATTATCTGGCCCAAGTTTGCTTGTAACGTTTTAGGATTCCCTTTCTGTAGACTGCCATATATGTCAAGCCCTTAACAAGAAACCTGCAGTGAAACATAATGGACAGGGTATGTCGCAGTCAGAAAACGTTGGTAGAGAATGATACAACATTCACATATTTCTAGATAGTGGTAACTAGCGATGTCTGAATTCTTTGTGTTAAGTACATAACCATCTTAAGAAAACCTAGCGGTAATGAATTTTATTTTAGTACTCCCTCCGTAAACTAATATAAGAGCGTTTAGAATACTAAACTAGTGATCTAAACGCTCTTATATTAGTTTACAGAGGGAGTAATTCATAGTCTTGGCTTAAGGCTAATTTTGTGAAAACATGTTGTAAAGTCATTATAGTAACCTCATTATCCACGATGCTGCAGGCTTAGCCGCATACATGTTTACAAAGAGCATTGCGCGGTCGTGGCGTGTTTCCGGAGCTCTTGAATACGGGCTTGTCGGTGTGAACGAGGGATTGATTTCAACAGAGGTAATAGAATGCCAAATCGAATTACTTAATCTCCTGCGTTGGGCTTACAATGTAAGGTATAACATAATTTCCAGGTAGCGCCATTCGGTGGGGTTAAGCAGTCTGGGCTTGGGCGAGAAGGATCAAAATACGGCATGGACGACTACCTGGAGGTTGGTACATGCGACTCTCTAAACTGTTTCCCGACATGTTACTCGTTTCTCATTTGCTTGACCGTGGTTGCAGATTAAGTATGTATGCATGGGCAACCTGGGTTGATGCTTGAAGTTGGCATCCGCTTCCACCTGAATGGAGAAGAAGGATCGAGAACCTACTGGGGCCAGGTGTGCTGATAAGCGTGGATAGCTATGCAGGCGTAAGGTGTAAGATGGAACGAAGAGGGAGGACAGTTTTAGAAGCTTGGAATAAAGAGAGTAAGCCGTGTCCGAATAAAAGGTGCAAGTTAGAATGAAGAGGGAGGGCAGTTAAGAAGCTTGGAATAAAGAGAGTAGGCCGTGTCCGAGTAAATGGGTTGTAAATGAATGAAACGTGAAGCACGGCTTCGTCTCCGAACTTTGATACTACTCAATAATCATCACGTTGTTCACTTGATGCAGAGAGCAGATCCTCTCAAATGTTGTAGTGATACTGCATTCTGTGTTTCTGGCCACTGTCGCTCCTGCATGTGAGCTGTACCCGTGTCACCAAAGCGTCACAGATCATCAGTAACTAACACTATCCTGCAAGTAGCAGTGGGCCCGTGTGTCATTTTAACCATCGATGCATTGAATTGTGGTATTTGAAATAGTAAAATCTACTGTATTCTGTACCATGAACACGTCACTGAAGGCTGCGTAACAATTTGGCATTGTCAATGTTGGCTATTCGTGCTAAACTGGTGGTCGAACCCGAAATGCTTGACCGGCGTAGGTTATTAAACAACACGTGTGTTAGTAGCTGTAAGACGGAGTGAGTAGTGACCATGTTGTAAGTACGGAGTGCTCCTACTTGTAAACGCTTGTTGGCAAGCAGGAATTTCGCAGAAACCACTCCCACATGCGGCATGAGCCGATGAGATCTCTCACATTCTGAACAAACAAAAGGACACCTAATACGAAAAGCTGATAAGATCTCGCTGGTATCTCCTCTTTCCCGCTTACCGAGGTAGCAGCAGCTAGATCGAGCGATGAGTGCAGACCCTGGGCAGGCGGTAAGAGTGAATGGGCCAGAAGGCAGCACGATCCAACCAAAGCTCTGCCTGCTACTCCTACCTACTACTCCCTCATTTTCGGTTTATAAGGCTCAATTTAAACATCTCACCAACCAAAATAGATGATGAGTGATGGAATATTTTTTGTAGTTTGTAAAAGCATCCAATTAATGCTCTTGTTTTTCTCAAAAAATTATGTTTACGAATGCATTAATTGCAATGCATGCATGCATAAAGTGCATGCATTGGTCAGTTTTCTTTTAATACTTGCATGCAATGATTTAATGCACCTTAAAGTCTGAACATGTGATGGGGAACAACCAAATTGAGCCTTATAAAATGAAAAAACTAAAATTTTGAGATAAGCCCTATAAACCGGAAAGGAGGGAGTACTATTTGTACTAGTACAGTATATGTCCCTATTTGGATTCATGGGTTAGAATTAGTTTGGGTTAGTTTGGACTCAACTAACCCAAAAATATTCAAACAGGGTTAGTTCGGGTTAGATGCATCTAACTCATCCAAAAAATCTAACCCACCTAAGAGGTGCTTTTGGGTTAGTTCTTCTCAAGATCACTAAAAAACATATTTTTCTCTCGCTCTTCCCGCAGCAGATCCCTCCCCATTTTCTCAAAGCTTCTCGTCCTTTCCTTCCCTTCCTCTCGCACCGTCCGTGAAGACGCGTCGTCGTATCCGCGCTCCATCTAACCCTGCCATCCAAACACCTCTTTGGCTAGAGTTAGTTTAGAGTTAGTTCAGGGTTAGAATCTAACTCTAACCTCTAACTGAGTTAGAGTATCCAAATAGGGCCCGATCTGCTTCAGCAGCAACAGGTGGAAGTAGAGGGAATAAACGGGACGAAATCACTATTCTGACCCTTTGAACGAACTTTGTCACAAAATGAACTCGACGTGAAAGTATTTCACGATCTGACCCTTTTAGCAACGCCATAGCCCGCGGCGTTTCTTCTTAAAGAAGAAACGCCGAGGTAGCTAGCGTTTCTGATCAAAAAAGAAACGCCGAGGTAGCTAGCGTTGCGGACCAGGTAAGAAACGCCAAAGGCGCTGACGTTTCTGGCCATCATAGAAACGCCAAGGAACCATGGCGTTGCTGCCCTCTTTGGTCATAATTAATTAGCCTTATTAATTAGGTTGTTCATCCACGTTCCACATGCACATGAAAAATGGCAGCAACTCCATGGTCATTGGCGTTTCTATGATGGACTGCAACGCTAGCGCCTTCGGCGTTTCTTATCTGGTCCGCAACGCTAACTACCTCGGCGTTTCTTCTTTGGTCAGAAACGCTAGCTACCTCGGCGTTTCTATGTTGGACAGAAACGCCACGGAATGTGGCGTTGCTAAAAGGGTCAAATCATGAAATACTTTCACATCAAGTTCATTTTATGACAAAGTTCGTTCAAAAGGTCAGAATAGTGATTTGGTCCGAATAAACGAAGCTTCCTCCGTCGTCAAACACTGACATGCACCTTTACCTTTTTGTTCACCCCCCTCTCCTCCAAAGGGCGGCAGCAAAAGGGCGCTTGTCTCTTGCATACGGGACCCACCGACAGGGGGCGAGCCCGAGGCGAGCCAGCCCGGGCCACCAGGGGCCGGCCTGCCCTGCGGGCCGCTTTGCTTTGGTGAAACCCAAGGTGATTTGCCTCGGGAGCTGCCCCCCTCCCCTCGCGCGCGTACTGTAGCAGGGACATCTGGCATCAGCTTTTGGAACTTGCTCCTGCTTCAGTGTACTCCCGGTAAGGCTCAGGAAGAAGCTTCCTTCGAAATCTCTGCGTCTCCTCGTTAGTCAAATAAAGGGCAAGCCTAGGGCCTAGGGTGCTGGGCTTGAGTAGCTAATTAAACTGCGCCTGCTTCTGTTGCTTCTCCTTTTTTGTGTTTATTACCAAAGACAGGCCGCGCACAGGCTGAAATGCACATGCTGACAGGGGAGCCGATGCGGTGATCTGGGTGCTGACTGCAATGCAGGGAGTATACTTCGAACAACGAACTGAAAATTCCTCTTTGGGAACATATAAGGCGATACTACCTGGGTTCCGGCAAGCAGTTTTGGCTCCTAGCAACGATTGCCAAACAAATTCAAAATGTACTGTTTTTTTTATACATGTTCGCGTTAATGTCCAAGACATGCATGGAAATTTTCATGCGGAAAAGCACAGATGTATTTCATAAAAAAAAAGTTCAGTGGTCTATATATGCCAAACATTTGACACTCAACTTGTCTTTTTTTTTTGCATAGTTCAAAATGATTGGCTTGCCGGGTTTTGACGAGGTGGTCTCAAAGGCTTGGGCCGAGCGGGTGAGACACACGGAGCCATACCAGATTCTGTATCAAAAGCTCAAGATAACCGCGTTGCGTCTCTCTGAGTGGAGTAAAAAGCTTTTCTCCAAGGCGAAAGTCCAGTTTCATGCGGCTCAGCTTGTGATCCTCCACCTTGACATTGCGCAGGAAGGGAGACCCCTCTCCCTTGAGGAACGGGACCTCCGCTCGAGACTGAAGAGAAGGGTTATTAGCTTGTCGGTGCTCCAGAGGGCTCGAAAGAGCCAGTGTGCAAGGGTTGCAAATTTGAAAGATGGTGATGCTAACACCAAATTTTTCCATCGGCGCATTAATGCTAGGCGGCGAAAGAACCACATTCATCGGATCAAGCACGGGCATGGTTGGGTAACCGAGCACAGAGAAAAAGAGAAGATCATTCACGACCACTTCCATGAGGTGATGGGGATAAGGGGTTCGAGCGCCAAGGACTTTAACTGGGAAGAGCTAGGTGTTGAACCCCATGATTTGCATGGCCTTGATGCCACCATTACCGAGGAGGAGGTGTGGGAGGCCATCAAGGTAATGCCTTCTGATAAAGCACCTGGCCCTGACGGCTTCACGGGTCTGTTCTTCAAGAGGTGCTGGGGGGTCATCAAGCATACGGTCATGAGGGTGGTCCAACGCTTTGACTCCCTTCACATAGACGAGCTCCACTGGCTAAACTCTGCCAGTGTTGTTCTATTGCCCAAGAAGGAGGGGGCTGAGGGCATTTCCGACTACAGGCCCATTAGCCTAATTCACTCCATTGCCAAAATCATCGCCAAAGTACTATCGCTCCGGCTTGCACCACTTATGGATGGTATTGTCTCGAACGCCCAAAGCGCTTTCATCAAGCGGCACAGCATCCATGACAACTTCCTGTATGTGAGAAACTTCGCGCGGAGGTTACATAAGTGCAAAACTCCGGCCCTCCTCTTCAAGCTTGACATCAAGAAGGCTTTTGACTCGGTGAAGTGGGGATATTTCCTGGAGCTTCTCCAACGACTTGGGTTTCCCACCAGATTTCGTGCTTGGGTTGCTGCTCTTCTCTCGACATCATCCTCCCGCATCCTTCTCAACGGTCTGCCAGGGCCGCCCATCAAACATGGCAGCGGGTTTCGGCAGGGGGATCCCCTCTCCCCCCTGCTATTTGTCATTGCGATCGACCCGCTTCAAAAAATCCTTAATCTGGCAACAACAAAAGGTCTCCTTCGCAAGGTCCGGGGACGGGGGCCCGAGATACGGACTTCGCTTTATGCTGATGACGCGGCCGTCTTTGTGGCTCCTCTCAAGCAGGACATTGACAACCTTGCAGCGATCTTGAGAGGCTTTGGAGAGGTTACGGGCCTCTGTTGCAACTTCCAGAAGAGCTCGGTCATGCCAATTAGATGTGCCCACATTCATCTTGAGCCAATCCTTGGGAGCTTGCCGGCCACCCGTGCGTCATTCCCGGTCAAATACTTAGGCCTCCCGCTCTCGGTCTGGCAGCTCAAGCGGGTGGATTTTCAGTATCTCGAAGACAAGGCGGCCGGAAAATTGGTTACTTGGGAAGGCCAAAACATCACAGCTATGGGCCGCACGACCCTTGTCAAATCAGTCCTTTGCTCCCAAGCGGTGTTCTCAGTCACACCGCTCATCGTGCCTAAAGGCACTCTTCATAGTCTGACCAAGCTTGAACGGGCTTTTCTCTGGTCAGGTGCTGACAAGACTACGGGAGCCAAGTGCAAAGTGAAATGGGACACAGTTTGTAGGCCCA